TACTTCTTGCAGTAAGCTGGCACTAAGACAAAATCTTGAATTTAGTGTAATAGCCTAGTTTTCTGTCCTACTCCCAATAACAATCTCCCCTAATCTTGTTTATGAGTATTAATATGTAAGTATATATTAATGTTAAAGGGTAATTGCCTTGAAACAATATATGCCTCAATCTTATAATGTCATAGTCCTTGTGGTTTACATCCCCTAGATGCATACTCCTTAACATAATTGATTTCATTACTCCTACTTTAGCGATGTGTGATTGCTTAATGAATTAATAAGGAAATCTAAATAATTACCTTTTTTTGCTCCCTAATACAACCAGAAATTGCAATTTATTCTCCTTTTCTAAATCCATAGCAAATTTAGCATTGCCATCTATTCCATTCATTGGCCCAAGGAATACACCCAATTGATGTTTACCGTGTTGTGAAATAGCAAACTATTAACTTTGGATCTAGGAGTATCTCTTGAAATAGAGAATATATATTTGAGCCACTTAGTTATTAGCTAAAATAGGGACTCAACTAGACCTCATAACCAAACCCCCTGTTTGCTCATACAACTTAGCACTGAAGGTAAGATATGTACTATTCATGCCCAAATTGTCTAATATAATTATTGAATCTCTATCTAATTTTTACCTGTCGTGATCTGAGGATGCTGATCTAGAATTGACTTATTGGCCTTCATTGACCCGTTTATAGGACTATCCGTGTACACACGTGCTACATCTGAACGTGCCGGCAAATATCATCTTTCTTTCGTCTGATCATCTACTAACTTTATAAACTCGTAAGAATTCCCTATCGAAACCTTCCAAGTTTTGGATATTTGTTTTATCTGAGTACAGATAGATTGTGATTTTTTATACATGATACGACTTCTATTATTTACAGCAATCCTAGGTTGGCTACCTTGCTTATGAATTTTGGGCAGACCATACGACTTTTGTGAAGTGCTTTCATTTCCTACTTTTACAGTTATCTGGTTTTTACTCCTTGTTGCAAAAAATTTTAAAGTCTAAACTCAAGGTTTATCGGGTCCCTAATTATAGTTTTATATGTTCCTCTCTCTTCCATGACTACTACTTCTTCTATCTCTGCCCTAAATACTGACGGATATTTTGCCTTTAATTTGGCGCTTCAATATGACCATCAATTAAAGGGACAACTTATGATTCACTGTCATTCTTAGTATCCTCAGGGAGACTAGCTGTGTAACTGATCAATTCTCCCTATATTTACAAAATATGTCCATTAAGACTATTCGATAATTACATTAAAAAATACTTAGTAAAAGGATAAAGGGAGATTGTTATTTGAAGTTGAATAGTTAGATAGACCATTCTACACGGTTCCTGATTTTTATTTCAAATAGGCTTGTAAAGAAATACTGAGGAGGTAGAACACCAGAACATTGTATAAGGATCAACTAGCTCTTTCTTTAGTCATAACTTCTTTTCAAGAATTTCCGACCCACTTTCTAATTCAAGCTGCTTTGTGCTCATTTGGTAGGTAATGCGTATGTAGGAGAGACCTGCCGAATCAATTGTAAGAGTTTATGTGACCTCTTGAAAAGATATATGGGTCCAAAAATCTGAGCTCGTTAAACACATGGCTAATACAGTGCACTCAATATGCTGATTCTAAACGCAATGTTTTGAGGGTTACGGCGATTTCATATCGAAGGTTAAGATTAAAGAGCTTATAGAAATAGACAGAAGCCAACGTCCTGAATAGGAGGAACGAGTGCAGAAAACTTAGTAGGAGCTATTTACGCTATTGGATAGACTTAAGGAGAGGAGGAGAGGGGGAGAGCAGGAAGAGCCACTAAGCAAGAGAAGGAGGCTAGATTAGCCTCGAGTCTAGCTAGGACTATCACACTTCCTATGACATGAACATTACATACAGACACTAGACGAATATTTCAACATTAGCTAGTTTGGAAGTTGTTTGACCTTGTTTTCGCGAATCGATCATATTGGTAGGAAGACTTAGAGAAACGCGCCTTGTCCGGAGTTCATTGTATGCATAATCATTTTCAGAGTAGGACCATGGACATGGTACATTCCCAGACGTTTCGCCAGCATCGTAGCCGGCATCATCAGTGAGTCTTGCCATTCCTAGCACCATTCAACAACTTGTCAAAGAGACAAGTGAAGCCCATCCTTTGATCAGACGTGTGCTAAACAGTTGTGGTATCTCCCCTTCTGCCCTGGCCTATTCACATTTCCTATATCCTCCTATC